AATGGAATTGCTGTGAATGAAACTTTCAGAAAGACGCTGCTTTTAATTGCATAGGTGAAATTTTAGGTCAGGAAATTTGCAGTTAAAGAAGTAGCAAAACAAATAGGATTATCGTTATTTAATGTGCACATCCTTTGCCCTCCTCGCAGAAACATTTTTGACTTTTTAAAGAAGATAGCTAATTATGATAAGAGAAATATCAGTAAAGCAGAGGAATACCTGTTTTAGTTTTATCTTGTTTTACTAGAACACTGGTAGCCAGCATTTAATGTTTACTGTGCTACCTCTGTCTTTTGGAAATAAATTAGAGTGGATTATAGATATAGAAAATGATTTTTAAATCTAGCCAGTTTTGAATCTGAAGTTCTCAATTTAAAATACAGAAATGATTTCTCATTTGTGTTAATGTTTAAATGACAAACTCAAAAGGCACAATTTTTTAACAGAATCTTTCCTTAAGTTATATCACACATTCAACCGTTCAAAATGAATTAAAAATAGTTCCTGAGAATATTTATAACAGTTTCAGGTTTTTGTAAGAAGAAATTTATATTTTTCCAGTTTTCTCATCATCAATTAAACCCATACTTACATAGGTATGCATTGCTTTTTTGCCTTCAAAAATACTGAGCCTAGAAAGTTGTTTGTGTTTCTCTGGAAATGTAAATGTATCTTTGTCTAATTATCATAGACAATGAACTTCCAACAAAACTAGTTAAAATCTAAAAGGTGATGTATCTAAAGCTATTGTATTGTGTCTGGTGTGTGTTGTTATCAAAATAAGATTTACAAGGCATAACTGCTTTGTGTACTGGGTCTTACTATGTACCACACAATTTAAGACTAGTGTTTGTTTTCTTTCTAGTGATAAAAAGTTGATTGCAGAAGGACCTGGGGAAACAATATTGGTTGCAGAAGAAGAAGCTGCTCGGGTGGCACTTAGAAAACTTTATGGATTCACAGAGAATAGACGGCCCTGGGACTATTCCAAGCCCGAAGAGAACTTGAGAGCACAAAAGACTATCTCTGCCAGCTAGCCAGTCAGAGATACGGCAACCCGAAATTTGTGAGCTAAACAATGAGACAAATGTCAAAGGTGTTTCAAGCTAGACATTTTCAAAATTGTAGAGAAATACATCTTATTCTTCATACGGGTGTTCTAAAATTAAATATAAGTATTAACAAAGTCACAATTTTTTGGTTTT